CCTCGCTCCTCTCTCTCTCTCGTAGGGAAATCAATTGAGTAGCAGCGAGTATGGAATCGATGTCCAGGTTGGAACATTACAACGCGGGGCCTTGCCTCCTGCCCTCGCCTGATTGCATTTGCTTTAATTCTCTGCTGAAGTTTAATTTGTCTTCTACCTGTCTCACTACTTTGAAACTTTGTTTCTTTTAAATATTTCTACAGTTTTTTTTTGTTATCTTACCAAGGCCAAGCCCACTTGAGCTGCTATACCGCTCTTGTTTTCAGAAGTGACCTGCCCACAACAAAGTGGCTTATCAACGTGTGGAAATGTCTCTCGGTCAAATACTCTAAACGCGTGGTGATGTTGACTCTAAATGTGGAGGGAAAACCGGAAGATCCGGAGGAAATTCCACGCGACCACGGGGAAAGAGACACGCAAACTCCAAATATACAGCAGTAATACAGGTTTGTTTGGGTTAGATCGCGTAAAAATATGTGTCGGTAAACTCGACACAGGAAATTAGTAAGGTTTGTCACGTAAACAGAACGTGGCCAATTCGTCACTAGTACAGCACTAGTGTATAGTGTAGTGAATAGTGTAGTGTGTAGTGTATAGTATAGTGTATAGTGTTTTGTATACTAGTACAGCACACCGGTTGTGTGGTGGAGAGCCAAGCCACAACATTTACAATCTTGAGCACGACGTTCGCCAGTAATTACAACCAGCTTCATCAGGCGACAGCCAAATGTTGTCAAGCTGCCGTTTCGCACCATGATCCTGATAGAAAAGAAGTCCATGGTGGAAATATTATTTTGTGTTGCCAAGCCTATTGCTGGGTCAGTTTGGCGACGGAGGAAATTGTAGCCATCGTCACCTTGCCAGAAAATAAGTAGACATTGAAGAGCATCATTGGATCGGTGTGTTTCATTTCTGTGTAGGGTATTGTTCCTCAGTTGCAAGACCATGCCTCGAGTGACATGTTGTTCAGCAGTCAGAATGACAGCGACTTCAGATGTTGCGAGTGCATTTAAGCGGCACTCATGTTGACCATGTGGAGTTTACTCGGCATGAATGACATTGTACTCTGAAGTCATCTTCTCCATGGCAAACTTGAAACTGTGAACATAAGAGTGTGAACATCATAGTTTTCCTTATGGAGCATGTTTTGCCACAACAATAGGACTTGCATCTTGGTGTTGATGACCTTTTTGCAATGCTGGTGAGCCTTCTAGAACTGTCAGACATGCAAGTAGATCTGTGGTAATGTAGGGAGGTCATTAGGTAGTGGCAGCAGACTGCTAATGCGATTATGTACCTGGCCCTGCACTTTAAATGTGGGCATGTAGCCAGATGTCGGGATGAGTTGGTTTGCACCCAAAATATGTAATTTGGAAGCATTCTACCGTTGTTTCGGAATTGGCTTGCATAGGTAGTGTTTGCAGGTATCAATACATGAATAGGCTCGGGATGGTCATTAATTGGTACAGTTACAGCATATCCTTTCCATGTCATTGCATGGCAGTAGCTGCATGAAGTAGACATGGAACCAATGGCAACTACTGAATCAGAAGTGTAAATTAAGTGAGGAATGTGTGGAAAAGAAAGACTTTTCCGTTTGGCAGCAGGGTAGGCACCTGGTTGCAGCCATTGTTGTGCTGTTTGCAAACTGCCTTGCTTGTTGGTGGACTGAAGTTTGATTAGCTGTGGCAGCAGCCATTTGTGCTGTGTTGGTTTTCTGTGAAGCTCATTGCTGTTGAGGAGTTGGTGCAGCCATGGTAGCCCTGGCAACATGCTCTTGCTTCTTAGTGTTAAGGAGATTCATTACCTGTAGGTGCAGCCATTGCAGAACTTGAATGGCATAAATTATTGTAATCGGCTTTGGTGAAGAGAGGTGCACGTTTTCCGCGAGGAACATTATTGGTGGAGGTCAAAGTTAATAAGCATAAAAAAGAGTAAATAGTGAGTGTGTAAGTGAATGCTATTTAGAGATTAAGGAAATGATAGTTGATTGTGTAATCGTTGTAAGAAGGTGAAGACATAAGCCGCAAAGGAACGAAGTCATTGTTTGTAGTGCTTGATGTGGGTATTATAGTATGTGTGTGGTGGTGTGTACATATGTAATGATTTTAATGCTAGTGCGTGTATTTGCATGCTTTTTATTCCTTTCCAGGCGATGTAGACTTGATGTATTTTAGTCGTAGATGTTGTATAGCATCTATGTTATGTAGAAGGAGGTCGGTAGTGTTGGTACGTAGATGTAAATATTTTTGAATAGTACATGTTTTTAAAATACATATTGCAGTGTGTGTTCGAGGTGAGCCGTGCACGTGCAGAGAGGATAGTAAGGAGCCGGAGGTGGATGAATTTGGCGGCAAAAACGCAGGGTTGATAATAGGGAAGGATAACGTGGTAAATATGAGAACAAATATTGTAGTGCAGTGGAGGCACCTTGTTATGGTGAGTGCGTATAATTCTAGTATATGAAATGTCATAATGTGTTAGCATGTGTGGAAAACCGTAAGTAGTGAGAATGCTCCCGGGCGTTAACGCATGGCAAGAGAAAGAGAGGGGGGAGTTGAGGAGCAGGGGGGGGTGCAGGTGGTACAGGTGTTGAAGGTGAGCAGGTAAGCTAAAAATAGTGAGAAAAACACAAACTCACCCGTGAGTACGCATGGAAAGTTTGGATTGTGTTGGCGCCATTTGGTTCACAAAAAAGTCTACACAAGCGCAAAGTCTGCTTTATCTTAATAGATTTATACTATTTTTTGTCTTGGAATATTTTTTGTATACAGTTTCTCCGTGTTCATGTCAATTGTTTAGTTTATTTGGAATACAGTACAGTACTTATTTCAATTGTGATATTGTCAATTTTAGTTTACGTTTACCTAACGCCATTACTTAGGTAAGGTATTGAATATCACACTTTTAGCTTTCGCGCGGAAATTTCCAAGAACATTACTCTGCGATATGCAAGGGGCTGCTGTATTTTTTGTCTATTAACTACAGCAGAGGTGTACAGATTTTTAACAGAAACTAGATCTCTGCATTCTTTATTTAATAAAGGCCTATAGTAACATAAAGAGGCTTGGGGCTTTGGGCTGTTATTTGTTTTCAAAGCTATGCCTCTGCTCACATTATTTTAGGATTTGTATGATTTTGGGTGGGACGGTCTCAAGCTGCGTGACCAGGTGTCGGAGCCATTTCCTGTTCAACTTGGCTTGTGACACAAATTCACTCTGGCCCCATGCATTACATTACATAGCATATTAGATAACTATGTAGTTTGAGAAGCTCCCAATGGTCATATGAAAACCATTGCATTCGTTACGGTTACAATGATATGCTAATCGATGCCTGGTTATAGTTAAAGGATCTTTACCTGCTGGTTAACCATGTTACATCTGCTGATGATTTGGTAATGGCTACTCAATGAGATGGAATTAGGGAATCTTGTTCTGTGCCTTGATAATTAATTCCATCATGAAATGGAGCCTTGCAAATGTTCCACAAAAATAAATCACTTGCCTGGGAATTTCATGTCATACAACACTGCACCTGCTCAACTCTCCATGAATAATCAGGCAGATCTACAAGTGTTGAAGGAGCTCCCATACCTGGTTAATGTGTTCTAGACCAGCGCTGGTTTGGCAGCCAAAGTCTCACTTAAAATTAATCGAGCAGCATTTTTTCATTAGACTGTGTAACACTTGTGGAAGGTGCCTGGACTTTTGCTCCATACAAAGCTTTGAGTGTCCATCGACAAGGTCTAGTCCATCTGAGACCAGCTCTCTCCCTGCCATACTGGCATCGCACCTGCCCCTCACCCTTAATCCTGCGGATAATCGACGCAAAGGATGGCACCACTTAGCCATTTCGAGCTGGCCCAACTGAGTTATGTGGGTCACGCGGCCACGAGTCGCTTGTTGGCGAACACAATCCCTGGGCCTGGCTCTAGGGGTGATATCAATATAGAATATATTCAAGGATGCCCCCGAATAGACTCCCCCTGGAACTCGACCAGACACGTCCCACTGGGCGAAGACCCCTGGGCTGGCCCAGGACACGCTGGCGGGAGTATGTCGCTCGGCTGGCCTGGGAACGTTTGGGAATTCCCCAGGATGAACTAGAGTCTGTCGCCAGGGAAAGGGAGGCCTGGACCGCCCTACTCAGCATGCTGCCACCGCGACCCTCACCAGGACAAGCGTTTTTAGGACTAACGAACAAAGCTGTGATTCTTCTTGGCCACAGATATTACTCTGTGGAAGCAAAGTATAAACTTATTTCAATTACCATCTGTGCTGGCTTATATAATGAAGGCTGGCCTGCCTATGATTCATCCTCTATTCAACCAGACTCTATTGTTTTAGAAGCTTATAGATCCTTAAGATATCAATATATAATATAATCTAGGGTAGAGGCCGACCGAAATTAGGTTTCGGTGCCGAAAGTTGGCAAGTGGCCTCTTTCGGCATACTTTCGGTTTCGGCTGAAAGTCAATTTTTAACTTTCGGTCTGGTTTCGGTTTCGGCCGAAACTGATATTGACTTTCGGTCATCAACCGAAGATCTATTTTTAGAATATAACGCTAGTGCTACGTCTATCAGCCGGTCAGTCGGCACTAGGCAATCTTATGCGATAGGCTGCAAACACACACACAGCAGCCACAGCAGCTTGGGAGCGAGGTTACAATCGCAACCATGCTCTGGGGCCGTCCATAAATGATGTCACGCACCTAGAGGGGGGGGGGGTAAGACATTTGTGACGATGTGTGACGAGGGGGGGGGGTTGAGAAATGTGACGTCACATCAAAATGTGCAACTTTAAATACATATAGACAACACGTTCTACTTAATTAAGTAGACTTTTTAATAAATGTTTTCTCCTACAACATCAGAGTGCAGCGTCACATAAAGTACGCAATATGACACTAGTTTAAAGGGATTTGAAGCATGTTTTTTTTTGGGGCGGGGGGGAGCAGAGCTTTGTGACGTCATATTTGAGGGGGGGGGTCTGACTTTTTGTCACGCCGTATAATGAAGGGAGGGGGGGGTAAAAAAATCGTCCAAAATCGCGTGATGTCATTTATGGGCGGCCCCTCTGCTAATGTATATACGACCGGTCAACAGACAGCAGCCTGCATCTACATCTGTGGGTGGAGTCTCTTTGGCGGGAAGACAACAAAGTGCCTCCATTGTCTGTTCCAGCCGCCTGCCCGCCTTGGCTTATGTGTTGCGTTCGCTTCAGTCTACACGCATGTTGATACTGAGATTCGAAGTCTGACAATATTGATATTCAGTTAGTTAATAGTTCCACAGTGAATTAGTGATAACGAAATTACGAATCTCAGTGAAGTAGAAAATTAACGTTAATAAACGGAGCAGTTAATCACCATGAAGAATGTCGAAACATGCGGTGTGGGATTACTTCACTAAAGTTGATTCTGATGCAAGCAAGGCGCAGTGCAAAGAATGCAACAAACTGTTAGATGATGATAGAAGAGAAAGCGACTAAACATGCATTACCAAATTTTGTGCAGACATCCTTGACATCAATGGCCGAGAGCAGAATGGTCTGGCCTGATGACCACGTTGCAGTCCAGCGAATTGATGAGTGCATCATGGACTTGATCGTTGTCAACATGTTACCCTACTCAGTTGTTGAAGGTGAAGCATTCAAAAGACTGAAGATTGGTGATCCACTCGGCGCTCATCGCTATAAGGTGAAAAGCGAAAAATACTACAGAACAACGCTGATGCCTGCCACATATGACAAAGTCGTGAAACACGTGACAAATCTGTTGCAGGAGGCCACATGGATATCGTTTACTACAGATGGATGGAGCAATCCAACAAAATCATGCTCATTACTCAGCTTCACGGGTCATTTCATTCATGATGCTGTGTGGCGCAAAGTTATCTTGAGTGTGACGGTGCTGGAACAAGATCATGATGGAAAATATCTTGCATCTAAACTTTGTGAAGCCATGACGAAATGGGAGATTGCGGAGAAGATTCACGTTGGAGTGCGAGACAATGCCGCCAACATGAAACTGGCAATGAGACTCGCAGGCGTCGCTGATATTGGCTGCATGTCCCACACATTACAGTTGGTTTTGCGTGATGCCCTGTTCACGCAGACATCAGTAGAAGTTGTCATCAAGAAGGCTCGCAAGATTGTCACTCACTTGAAGCATAGTGAGCAGGCTTGCCGTCATCTCGTGGAACACCAGCAAACGGTTAAAACCCCAGAACATTCACTACTGCAAGACGTCGAGACGAGATGGAATGGTATGTATCTTATGCTGGAGCGGCTGGTCGAACAGCGCAAGGCGGTTAATCTGTACAGTGTGCAGCGTAGTGGAATCGACAGTTTCTCTCTCGCAGAGTGGGAACTGGCAGCAAGAGTTGTTAAAATTCTTAAACCATTTTACACTGCAACGCTGGAGATTTGTGTTGACGATGCATGTATTTCTGTTGTTATCCTGCTCGTCTCAAATTTGAATAACATGCTCAACACTACAGCAGCAGACCAGGGCCTCAAGCAAATGAAAGCGACACTGTGAGATGCAATGTGCTGTCGATTCTCTCATATCAGTTCCTCGGCACCCTTCCTTGCTGCGACGCTGATTGACCCACACTTCAAGGATACTTATTTCAATGTCCAGAAGGCAGTGGCAGCGAAGAAAGTGGTTCTGAACTTTCTACGCTCAGTCCAAGAAAGCGCTATCAAAAATATGACTGCGCCATCCGCAGCTTCGCCAATTGACAACGTTGAGCCAGGACTTGAGAGCAGCGAGACTTCCGAATCCGGTGCCCAAGAGGAGGATGATCCCTGGGCTGCGTATGACAGCCAACCTGCTAATGTGAATCCATCACAAAATGTCGACATTCAAACTGACGCCATACCGCCGTTCGAACAGCAGTTGACCAATTACTTAAAGGAACTGCGTTTGCCTCGAATGACCACGGGCATATATGCGTACTGGCATTGCAGTCAATACCCACTTCTGGAAGCCGCTGCTCAAAAATACTTGTCTGCACCGCTGATCAGCGTGGCCAGTGAACAGTTGTTTAGTGCAGCAGGACAGTTGTATGCAGACCGGCGCAGCAACCTGCTGGGCGAAAATGTGGAAAAACTGTTCTTTCTTAACTACAACATTCATTTGTTGGGATATAATTACTAAGTAAGTAATACCTAAAGATTTGATATTTAGCGACTCTTACTGCAGGCTCTGAATGGTTAGTTCTAGATTTATTTTTAATTAAAGTAGCATTGCATCATAACATATTTAATAAATCTTGTGTTCGGTAACTTCGGTTATATACCTTTCTGTTTCGGTCTCGGTCGAAAGTGTATGTAAACTTTCGGTTTCGGCTTCGGTTTCGGCCGAAAGTGGAGTAAAAATTTCGGTTTCGGCTTCGGTTTCGCCGAAAGAACATTTTTAACTTTCAGTTTGGTTTCGGCCGAAACCAGAAATTCAGTTTCGGTTGGCCTCTAATCTAGAGTCTCTTTGGCAGGCGAGGCTGCATTGATTCGGTCATGAATCCCGCAGTCCCAGACACTGCATGCTCAAGCAGCTTTTGTTTGTCCAGATATTAGGGGCTGAACAGGCATGGCATTGGCGAGAAAAGAGATTGGAGAATGTGGAGGTGATCAGAACTGCCAATGACTGGTGCCAGTGAAGATCGGCCTCTGTGGAGGAGGCCCGTGAGGTATGCTGCATGGCAGATAAGAGATATTTGCTCTGCAAAAATGATGAGGTTGGAAAAGCAACGCCCACATGAATAGGTAGAACGCTGGGTTTCTAAAACCCAGCAAGACAGTGGGGAGCACAGCTGGTTCATCTGTCGGTCATCCCTTGACACTTGGATCATTCCCATTACCTGCTGACAAGGAATCCACACTTACATGGCTTTAAATTGCACGTATCATGGCATTAGCACTGTGATAAGGTTACTTGAAATTTGTCAGGAATGGTGGATGTTTGGTTTATATAATACTAGCGGGAAGTACCCGGCGTTGCCCGGGTGAAAAATCTATTTCAAAACTTCTGTTAAAAACATAACATTCATACACAAGTACTAAGCTATTGTGAAAGCCCGGCGTTCCGTTTGTCTGTCCATTTGTCCATCAACAAAATTAATAGAGGCTTGAAAAAGTCCTGAATCCAAAAGTAGTAGAAAGTGGCGGGTAAATAGATGATATAATAGGTTTCCGAAAATTGTCGACCTCAAAAAATGTTTTACCCCTCCGTAAGCATATATACCTACACACGCTACATACAATAGAGTGAGTAGTATCTCGTGACTCTATAGTAGTATCTGGCTCTACAGTAGTATCTACTGACTGTATAGCAGTATATATTGACCCTACAGTACTATCTACTGATTCAACAGTAGTATCTACTGACTCTATAGTAACTACTAACTGTTTAGTAGTATCTGCTGACTCTATAGGAGTATCTGCTGACTTCATAGTAGTATCAACCAACTCTATAGTAGTAATTACTGACTACAGTAGTATCTAATTACTATAGTAGTATACCATAGAGCTCTATACCATGAAGTTTGTATTTCCGACCATCACCACTGAGCCAGTGAACTGGAGCACGTACACCAAGCCAAGATGAATGGATATTCGGACTACACAATCCGTAAAGCTATCACCCCAACCATTGGGAAAGAACCATCTGAGGACCCAATCAAAACCATCACCTTGCCATACATAGCAGGGGTCACCAAAAATATTTCCAAAATCATGAGCATGTTGATACTGGTACTGAATCGGACCTGGATCTTGTGTTTGTTTCAGATTTTGGAAATCTTTTTGGTAACGCCTGCTATGTATGATAACGTGATGGTTTTGATCGGCGTCTCAGGGGGTTGTTTCTCCATGGTTGGAGAAACAGCTTTGCGAATAATGCGGTCCAAGTACCCATTCATCTTGAGGGCCTGGTGTACGTGTTCCAGTTCACTGGCTAGGTGGTGTTGGTCAGAAATGCAGTGGGCCCTATGGTGTAGTGTTTGATGAGGGAATTCTTCTGTGCCAGATGGTGGTGGGAATCAACCAACTCTATATTCAAATCTAGATTAGTTTTATATTATGTTTACTATTTCTATCTACGTGACTTTACCGAAAGAACCAAGAATATAGTACTTACTTAACAGTGCCGTGGTAAGGCCTATTCCCATGCAGGGGCCCCGGCCTCACCTAGATTTCCCAGCCAGCCGAGGTGGCACCTTGGCAGGCTGGGCTGCTACCCCGCCCCCCGTCCCCCACCATCCCCCGCCCGCTCGACAGTAGTTATCTACGGACTATAGTAGTATCATCAACCGACTATCGTGGTAAATGCACACTTGGGGTGGGGGGGGGACATCACAGTGTGAAAATTTTACCTCAGTTCTGTGTATTATTTTTGTCAATTTTGAACGTGAAGGCAAAATTCCCCCCTCCACTGATAGCGTGTGTGTATTGTTAGGGACAGCCACGGGTCAGCTGTCTTGCACATGTGCAGATGTGTGCTTTGGCACGTGCTCAGCATAGTAATATAATAATTAATAGTACTAAATTGTTATATCATGGGACCTCCTTTGCCTTTTGGCGTCCGCTGGTCTAACACTGTTTGAGACGAGGCTCGAAAGAAATCTGTCTCTGGTGTGGACCAATCAGTTTCAAGGACAATGCATATACTGTACTATCAGAGCATGTTTTTTTGCATTTTGACCACAAGTATATGTGGTTAATGCAGACATGATTCCTTGCAAAAGGTTTAAGTTTGGTGTTTTAACATCTTAACACCCGTTTTGTTGCCAGAAAAAGGGGAAAACCTATTATTATACTAAATTGTTAATTTAACTACTTTTAAGTTGGCGGACGCGAAATAAAAATAGTACTCACCACGGGGCTTATTGCATGGTTCCTGGGTACTTTTTTTTAACCAAAAAACCCCACGGTTCGTGAGTCAAATCCGTCACAAGTTTCGTCCACAGACCGACGGACAGTCAGACAGACAAAAATGACTTGTATAGGTAAGATGTAATGATCCATGTGAAATGTATATGTTTTAAAGAGTTTATCTTTGTGGGTAGCTATGAACTCAACAGTAAGTTTGATTGCTGACAGCAAACATGATTGTTAAGTGAAAGCTGAACTTATTGTGGTCCTCTGCCATGTTGATTGATCTTAAATTCATTACATGGTGAAGTGAGGAAGCATTAATACTGAGCAGATGAAGGTGGCCAGGCATGCTTCTGGACACACCACCACCTTTGTACCATGCCAGTGTGTGACAGTGTCAAGTTTGTATTTGCAGTAAAATATATTAACTATTCAACATGGAGGTTAAATAAAAAATAGCTTATTTTAGTTTTCCTCTGGAACTTTTTGTAAGAATGGAAACAGTCAGGAAATTAACACAGCGTATGTGCTGTTGAAGTTAGCTCTGTTCATCCAAGCATTCAAGCAAATCTGAGCCTGGCTTCACACCTCTAAGTTGTGATTGAACATTAATTTATGCACTTTTGCATAATACAAATTGTATTATTTTCAACAGCCTTTGCTATGTTAGCTGAATTTTGCTTTCATAAATATTCCTTTTGTTGCCAGGCAGCCAAAATTGTATGCTTGGTGTTTTGGGTTAACATTAATGTTGAAGATACTAGGGCGTCCACGCATAATTATAACCATTTGCCCTCTAAATTGTATGCCTTAACAGCCCGTGTGATGAATTGGGGAATATCTTGAATATATTAATAAATATAGACGTGTAAGTCATGTGTGACTCTATATTAATTCCTCTGTGCCTTGATACTGACCGAGATGGTGTGGATATTTTTTCTGTCTGCAGCTGACGCTTCCTCAGCAGAATTGGTCTGATGGAGCAAAGGCACTCAGCGCAGCCCGGTACAACAAGACAACAATGGGACCAGGATGCAAACAGCATGGATTGTACTGGAAGTGTGACACGGCACCAGAGAACTCAAACAGGAGAGAAACCCTTCAAGTGCACTGTGTGTGAGAAGGCATTTGCATGGTCATCAGTTCTTCAAAAACACCGGAGAACACACACTGGAGAGAAACCCTTCAGGTGTAGTGTGTGTGGGAAGGCATATTCAGATTCATCTGTTCTTAAAAAACACCAGAGAACACACACAGGGGAGAAACCCTTCAGCTGTAGTGTGTGTGGGAAGGCATTTTCAGATTCATCCGCCCTTAAAAGACACCAGAGAACACACACAGGAGAGAAACCCTTCAGGTGCACTCTGTGCGGGAAGCCCTTTGCAGTGTCATCACATCTTAAAGAACACCAGAGAACGCACACAGGAGAGAAACCTTTCAAGTGCACTGTCTGTGAGAAGGCATTTGCATGGTCATCAGATCTTGAAAAACACCAAAGAACACACACAGGAGAAAAACCCTTCAAGTGCAGTGTGTGTAAGAAGGCATTCGCACAGTCATCAAATCTTAAAAAACACCATAGAACACACACAGGAGAGAAACATTTCAAGTGCACTGTGTGTGAGAAGGCATTTGCACAGTCATCAAATCTTAAAAAACACCATAGAACACACACAGGAGAGAAACTTTTCAAGTGCACTGTGTGTGAGAAAGCATTTGCACAGTCATCAGTTCTTCAGAGTCACCAGAGAACACACACAGGAGAGAAACCCTTCAAGTGCACTGTGTGTGAGAAGGCATTTGCAGAGTCATCCCATCTTAAAATACATCAGAGAACGCACACAGGAGAGAAACCCTTCAAGTGCACTGTCTGTGAGAAGGCATTTGCATGGTTATCCGGTCTTCAGATCCACCAGAGAACACACACAGGAGAGAAACCTTTCAAGTGCAGTTTGTGTGAAAAGACATTTTCAAGTTCATTTTGTTTTAAAATGCACCAGAGAACACACACAGGAGAGAAACCCTTCAGGTGCACTCTGTGCGGGAAGCCCTTTGCAGATTCATCACATCTTAAAATACATCAGAGAACGCACACAGGAGAGAAACCTTTCAAGTGCACTGTGTGTGAGAAGGAATTTGCATGGTCATCAGGTTTTCAGATCCACCAGAGAACGCACACAGGAGAGAAACATTTCAAGTGCACTGTGTGTGAGAAGGCATTTGCATGGTCATCAGGTCTTCAGATCCACGAGAGAACACACACAGCAGAGAAACCTTTCAAGTGCAGTTTGTGTGGTAAGGTATTTTCAGGTTCATTGCCTCTTAAACGGCACCAGAGAACACACATGGGAGAGGAACCCTTCAGGTGCCTCTTGTGCGATAAAGCGTTTGCAAAGTCATCAGATCTTCAAAAACACCAAAGAACACACAGAGGAGAGAAACACTTCAAGTGCACTGTGTGTGGAAAGGTGTTCACACGGTCATCATATCTTCAAAGGCACCAGAGATCACACACAGGAGAGAAACCCTTCAAGTGCAGTGTGTGTGGGAAGGCATTTTCAGATGAATCACATCTTAAAAAACACCATAGAACACACACCGGAGAGAAACCTTGCAAGTGCTGTGTGTGTGGGAAGGCATTTTCAGATTCATCAAATCTTAAAATACACCAGAGAACACACACAGGAGTGAAACCCTTCAAATGCAGTGTGTGTGGGAAGGCATTTTCATTTTCATTTTATCTTAAAATACACCAGAGAACACACACAGGAGAGAAACCCTTCAGGTGCACTCTGTGCGGGAAGGAGTTTGCACAGTCATCTTATCTTAAAAAACACCATAGAACACACACAGGGGAGAAACATTTCAAGTGCACTGTGTGTGAGAAGGCATTTTCACAGTCATCAAATCTTAAAAAACACCATAGAACACACACAGGAGAGAAACATTTCAAGTGCACTGTGTGTGAGAAGGCATTTGCACAGTCATCAGTTCTTCAGAGCCATCAGAGAACACACACTGGAGAGAAACCCTTCAAGTGCAGTGTGTGTGGTAAGGCATTTTCACAGTCATCTTATCTTAAAAAACACCATAGAACACACACAGGAGAGAAACATTTCAAGTGCACTGTGTGTGAGAAGGCATTTGCACAGTCATCAGTTCTTCAGAGCCATCAGAGAACACACACTGGAGAGAAACCCTTCAAGTGCAGTGTGTGTGGTAAGGCATTTTCACAGTCACGACATCTTCATCGACACCAGAGAACACACAACCATCAGAAGATCCCCAAGGAGTGTAGTCTGAAATCGACTTGTGAAAGTCAAAGTGCTGCAATGAGCCCATCCCTCCTGAAAAAAGAACCAGAAGTGAATTCCAGCTTGGACACTGTGAAATGTATCAAGCTGAAAATTGAAGAGGTGACAGTGAAGAGCGAAGAAGTGAAGGTGAAATGTGAAGATGAAGATTCAACTACAAAATCGGACCTTCACATCGATGGAGGCAACGTGAAGCAGGAGGAGAATTCTGACTGTGAGGCAGAGCGAGGCAACACCCAGCAGTTTGTGGAAGTGGAGGTGTGGGTCGACTTCTTAGACAATACAAAGTCAAATGGAGACCCGGTAGATATGTAAGCTTGAGACAATGAAGCCCCAGTAGATTCGCCTTCGTCACAGGCCTTTAATGAAAAGAACGTGAAGTTGAACACTCCATTCCTAGGTTCAACCTGCAGAGTAAGAGTGGCCAGTATTATCGGACCTGTGGGTTGGGTAGATCTCTAACTAGGAGTGAGAGCCAATAAGCTCCCAAGCATTCACTATGTTATAATAATAATAGCATTTTATGGTGCTTGCTTAATCGCCTCAGCAACTCGGAGTTTTGTATCATATCTCATCACAAACACTCGAAGAGAATGTTATATATATAACTTTTCCAAAAATATATATTGAGAGTGATTCTGAGTATTGTGGTTAATGCAGACATGATTCCTTGTAAAAGGTTTCAGTTTGGTGTTTTAACATCTCAACACCTGTTTCCATAAAAAAGGAGAAAACCTATTCTCACTCAAAAAGCATGTTGTATATATCCTTTTCCAAAAATGTACATTAAGAATGATTCTGCCTATTCTTTTTTGTAATAATTTTGATCGGGATGGAGCGCTGGGGCACAGAAAGGGTGAGTCCTCGCCGCTGCCTCCTGCCTTGCCACACAAAAGACAGCTGGAGGATAATTACTCACAAGCCTGCTTGGGAATAAAATGTAATAAAAATACTGCAAACCCAAGGGGGGGGCTAATGAGATTCTGCAGGAAATCCCCAGTTGACTTCAAGAGAAGGCCGCCATAAAGGAAACAACCCACAATAAAACAAACAAGACGGAAACATAAGGGGTCACAAACCTCCCTTGGACAGCAAAATCCATCCAAGGGCAGTTAATAATTGAGCTGACTGGGGATTTTTTAAAAATACAACAGTAAAGTCCGAAGCTTGGCTATATATTCAACCTCAGGATATCAAAATACAACTTGAATAAGAAGCACGGATCCCTGGCGATACAGACTGGGAACGAAGATTAATACACCCCTCGGAATACCCTTGGTAACAACTATGGTATACCACAAATCTTGGTTAAGCATGAAATAAATAATAATTATAAAAGTGTTAGACCTAGGGGCATTCAGAAGATATACAATGCGAAGTATGTCAATCACACACGACCAAGATAATATGTATTCCACAGGATCAGAGCCTCACCAACCGCCTTTGTCTTCCAGTAGCTAACAGCACATGGTAGCAGTAAATTATGTATGCAGGGGGACACCTCCCCCTAATATATCAAATACCACGCAATAATTCAAAACTGCAACGTCAGTGCTATGAACGCTGCTCAAAACGTACTTTGAGTCACTTGCAGAGTCAAAACTGCAGAAAGTGGTACGGTACCAAGCTATCAGGTATACAATTATTTTTTTTACTTCCAACCCGTGATGAGAGGACAATACATGGCAACATCAAGCACACCCAGGCACAATAGGTCACGAGTTCAAAGGCCACAGCGCCCCTTTTTGAGAGAGACTGCAAGTCTGATGCGCAAAAAAGTAATACTTCCAGCCCGTGATGGGAGCGTGGGGAACGCTGACCAAAATGTGAACAGAAACATTGCGGTAATAAAGACATCCGGACAACAAACAGCCGAAACGACTTTAAAAGGAAAACAGCTGATCGTCATTTGTTTATGACGATCATTAAAAATAAAAACTGTTACTTTTCACAATGCCATACTAAAGAAGAAGAACTGCGAGTGGTAGGCTCCAGGGATTGCCCTCGTGACTGGCAAATTGATAGGGAGCTCTGCATCGTCAGAAGCCACACATCACGTAGAGGTTTTTTTGTTGCGTCATTGAGAGAGGCTGCCAGCCAAGGCTGGTGCTCACAGTATTACAATACAAACGTGGGGAAGAGTGCCTAGCATTACTATTCCCGGTGGCGAGGTCGCTGTGTACAGCCAACCATTACGACCATAGTGACAATAGTTCCGATTATGCTTCGATCAAAGTTAACCCTTCGAGGGAAAGCTGGTGCCACCACTATTCGTGAGAGTGCCCCTTGAAATCGGAACCTACAGGCGAAGTTTAGTTGAGGGTCGGATCAGAGACTGACACGGAATGATATAACTTGATCTGTAGCGTGTCCTCTGTGCAACACGAGTCGAACAGACAACTGGAAGAGGACTTTTGAAGAGGGGGCGGAGGAGGGGGAAGACGATAGTCGCTGTCTCTCCAAGTCGCTCCACAGTGGGGGTGATGCGCGGAAACCAGCGGACGAGTTGCGAGTGGTTTCTGGTGACGGGATCATCGCGCACATTGATGCAGACGGATCCGGACCCGGACCCATCATCCCTGCCAGCACGGGCACCGCCGACAGAGTGACCAGCGTGCCGACTCGGCAACCACCCCAGCGGTGGAGAGAGACCGACAAAACAGCCGAGAACACCATGTTCAACACACGCCGACCCAGCGCCCCTGTTGGGGACCTGAGGTATTTTCGATACAAGGAACGCAGCACCTCGGAAGCTGCTAACTCAAGTTAGCAAGATACAGCAACTGCCATTCGCCACTAAGTGGCGGTGACGTCACCACGACGCTTATTCCAGGCTATGTTTTTCAGTTTCATTTATTAGGTATAACCATGCGAGCCATGCAGCTCTTGACTCGGGTGCAACCGCAACAAAACAAAAACATGAACAAGAAACATCTTAAAGTGACTACATGCAACAGAAAAATCCTGGAAAAAACAGAAAGTCGTCCAGAAAAAACACTTTCAACGCTGTGTGCAAAAATCCCAGTGGGATGCAAGTCAAACAATAACAACCATAAGACAATGTAGATTAAAGTTATCAGGCTAACTCTGTACTATAACAAACAGACATGGCTAAACCAAAAGTTTTCAAAATCAAAATAAAGCTATAAAAACAATGTAACAGTGAATATCTTAGGTCACATTTGTTCTTCGAAAGTGAGGAGATCCAGCAGGAAGTCTGCTGATTTTTTTGTAAGTACATCGTGAATAAATAAGTCTTAATGCACAAGCCGTCGATCATTAAGATAAGTTAAGTTTGACCCAATGTAGAGATCACAGTGGTGGGTCACAGAATCTTGCCCGCAAATTCATTGATGCCCCATTAGCCAATTGATAAGCATTTGTTAGCCCATCAGGCACACGAGCACTCACACTATTGTTTCAGGACATTTCGTTACTTGCATAATCTTACCAATGAATTCATTGATGTCTATTTTTGCCATTGGGCACATGTTTCTTTAGATTGTTTCGTATGAATATTGTAATTTTTTAATGGACTTTTCCTATTGCCGTGTATGGTCGCGCTCCTCGGAGGAGTTAGCCGATTGTTCTGTTACTCAGTTCTAACAAACATTACCATTGAGGGTCAATTGTACAGATTAATGAGTAGAACATCTTCAGTAGTATGGTGTTGACAATTCCGATCATAAATATATTCGCATATTAGTGTTTTTAGATATTAAAGTTGCTTAACACAAGAGTCTGAGTGGTGCCTTCTTAAGTGCATGCATAATCTTAATTATAAGAACTGTATCCCGCAGTAAGATCTGAATTCTGAGACCTGATGGAATTACACTAAATCATAATCAGTAAAAGTTAAAGCGAGAATCATTGTATTATCACGATTGGTAATACACCCTGGGCAAATAAGCTGAGCCTAATTTGTATAAATGCATACATTTATCTTGGTTATTTTGGTAAAGTCACGTAGAAGGGAAATAATAAAAAAATATAAAAAATAAAAATGCTCACGGGGTTTCGGCCACAACACAAGCAGCTGTCCTCAGGTGAAGAAACAGCTGTCGGAAAGACAGTGCTCCAATGAACACTGCTAAGCTTGGCAGCGTATTTTAAGCTGGGTGGGAGGAGCAGAGCGCCTTGACAAAGGAGTTTACATATCAATAGAATAATTTAGCATAGAAGTAGCTATGTTAATGTGAGAGATTAACAGGATGTTAAAGTCAGAAATTAGCATGTAACTGGGATATTAGCATGATGTTAATGTGAGGAATTGGCATGTAACTGGTCACGGAAGTAGCTATGTTGAAGTCAGAGTTTACATATCAACAGAGGCATTTAGTATATTGATGCTAAAGAACTGCAACTACCCAACTATCATACAATAAACCGATGTGAAAGAACTAAATATAAACTACATCAATATAATCAATGTACTCAATATATTCTCCACTAAGCTGAGCTACTAACAATAAGTCATTATACATTACACTTCTATGTCGCAAAAATTATTATAATATGCCTCCAACTAATATTTTTATTATAAATTGCCATAGACAGACCCCAACATTGAATTATACACTGCGTTACTTTACTCTATACCTTAGATTATAATATTAGACTTGTAATATTACACTGTATTATTTTACTAACCCTACTGTATACCACACTGCTGTATATTCGCTATACAAGTACGATACTATATATTACCAAATACATTTTTTTTACATTACACTGAAAGTTACTAAGAGATTAGGATGTTAAGGTGAGAAATTAGCATGTAACTGGGAGATTAGTATGATGTTAATGTGAGGAATTAGCATGTAACTGGTCACGGAAGTGGCTATGTTAAAGTCAGAGTTTACATATCAACAAAGGCATTTATTATATTAACACTAAAGAACTGCAACTACCCAACTTTCAT